TGGTGCGGCGTGTGGTTTCCGTAGACCTCCCAGTCTGGAGGCTTCTCGAGCGCCGCCACCGCCGGCCCCGTTGGTGGCTTCGGTAGGCCGAAGGTGCGGTCCAACAGGCGCCCAGCCGCCGGCATGGCGCGCTGGAGGTGGGAGTGCAAAGTGGGGCTCAAGCAGCCTGACAAGATTTCTCACTTCATGGGCCCAAAACAGGTCCGAACTTTTTGTTTACCACTTGGTTTTCCCATGTCCGACCTTAAGGGAAACTCACCTATCTCAAGCAGCCTGACGGGGTTTTAAACCCATGTCCGACCTAAGACTCAATCCTGGAGTGGATGGGCCAAAAAAAGTTACCACTAAATTGGTCCAGCCCCAAGAAGTGACTAACGTCCAAACACTCGGGAACTGAGAGCAGAAACTCACCTATGGGCTAGGTTCCCGACATGTACCCAAGCGAAACTTGCCATGTGCATTGGGTGAAATAAGCCTATACCAAAGTGAGCGTTCCATCCTTGCCTGAGGGGAGCCGTTCCTTTGGCATGAAAAGAGCCCAAAAATCAAAATGTCCCCCTGCCCAGCGAAATTTATCCTGAGTGGCCCAACAGGTGAGAGAAAAAAAATAGGGCCCCCGTTTCTCAGGCAGGAGCTTAAACCAGCTCCTTTCGCTTTTCCGTTCAAGGGCACAGGGGCGCCTGGTTTCAACACATGGTGTCTGCTGGCCTGCGAGCTTGCTCGCAAAAAGGACGCCCAAGACCTGCATGCCCAGCCGCAAGAGCGAGAGCTGCTCGAGGGGCAAACTGGCCGCGATTTTGAAGGCCCTGCCTCAGTTGCTTCACTTAAAAGGGTAACGGGGCCATGCCTACAAATTGACTCAGACATAAATACACCTACAGCAAAATACCATGTACTGCATAATTCCTCACAAATTGGGGCAACCAAAAGCTCCAAAGGTCGATTCGCTTTGGACAAGCGAGCTGCGCTGAACAGCGCTCAGAACATCTTGGGAGCCAGCCGCGCCCCAGGCGGTCGTCACCAAATCGTCCAGCTCGAAGTCGTCGATGCGCGCCAGGGTCCGCCGAGCGAAATCTTCGCGCACGCCGGGGCGCAAGGCTTCCGCGCCGAGCATGGCCATGGACCACCAGCCTTGCCCAGAAAAGACTCAGAAATACCAAAGGCGATTGCCTTTTGGAGCCGATCGAAGAAAATGCAAAAACCCAACCAGGGATTCAAAGAACCGCACCAAAAACAAGGGTTTGGGCCACCAAAAATGGGAACCCAAAGCCGAGTCCGGAAAACCACGTTCCGGTCTAGGTCCTCCAGTAAAGAGGTTAGAATAAGGGTGCCCTTTTTTTTCTGCAGGCTATTTTAGTAGGGGAACCCTCCCCCAAAGAAGAAAACGGTAAAAGGGCACCTAGCTGGGGGACCTAGGGGTAAACTCGCTTTGGTGCAACAACCCACTCAAAAAGAGGGGTCCGAAGTCGGGAAAAAACCACCAGGTTCCGGTAAATCCCGTGGCTTCGCTTTGCAACTGGCTCACTGGCTGAGTGGATGGCCAATAAAAAAACTCCAAACTTTTGCTTTACTCCCAAAATGGTCGTCTTCCCAAAAAGTTTGAAGTTGAACTCAGGAAGTGAGAACACTTCCAGTGATAGATTGTGATAGATTCCCCCCCAAAAAAAAAACAACAACAGGGGAAACTACAAAATACCACAAATTCACCTGTGATAGGTTCCCTTTAAAACCAACAGAACAAAAACAAAAAAGGCAAAACATTCATTTCACCCAATGGACGCCGGGCGGCAGCAGGCCAGGCCGTTGGCCGCGCCGGGCGGCTCCGCGAAGACCGCCGCGCAGGCGCGGTGCACGCGCCGCGGCTCCGCGCAGCTGAGGGCCGCGAGGGCCCAGAGGCGCTGCAGCGGGGAGCTGGGCGCGAGCAGGGCCCAGGCCTGCGGAGGAAGGAACGGGAGCCGGGGGTTCGGGATCCCAGGGTGTGGCTCAACATTAAACAGCAGGGGCAAACCGCAGGGTTTTGGCAGCCATGTGTCCACTTAGGGCAACCCAGTTTGGAATTCCGGGTTTTTGAGCCCCAGGAAAAACCGGAGAGTGGTATCAACAAATTTCGTGGGACCCCAGATTTCGGTGGGGATTTTCCGATTTTTCGGAAACCCTGGCAAAACCGGAAAGTGGGATCCGAACAAAAGGGCACCATGCTGTTTCGCATCTCATTTGAAGGATTGGGTGTGGGGAACCCAATGCTTTTGCGATTTCCTTCGGCTTCCCAAAACCCACCTGAAAATGGTATCAAAACAACAAGGGCGCCAATTGTTTCGCATCCTGAAGCACCAAGTTGGATTCAAACAAAACAACAACCACCTGAGAATGGTATAAAAAAAACAACAAGCCAAGGATGAGTGAACTACCTCAAGGGGAGGGTCTCACGGTTTGTTTCACCCATCCGCCGCGGCCCATGCCCCGCCTGCGCCCTTCGGCCCTGCGTGCTGCAAGTCCAGAGGGCCGCGTCACGGGCCGGAGCCGGGGGCTCCACGGCCTTGGCCTCCAAAAACGCCAGGAGGCTCACCGCGCGCTGCCAGGGTCCACAGACGGCGTTGGCCCAGGCAGGTTCCAGGCCCTCCTGCACCTGAGGGGGGGGAAACTGGAGTTCCTCTTCAAAAGTGGTCTGCTTCTTGTTCAGCGCGTTTGGGCCATTCTTCAAAAGTCGAATTAGTTTCTTGTAAGCTCCTTTGAAACTGCCACTTTTGGACGTCCAACATAGGGAACTTGAGTGAATGCCTGACCAAAGGCCAAAGCCAGCGCCGCAGGCCAGGCGTCCGCCTTGGCCGCGCGCGCCAGGCGGACGAACGCCACGTGGTCCAAGCGCAGCGCCTGGCTGCGACTCGACGCCACCAAGGCCAGGCCCTGCTGCCAGCGCCTGGCCTCCGCGCAGGCGCCGATGCAGCTGCTCAAGGTGATGAGGTCGGCCTCCAGTGGTCCAGCCCCCCTACCTTAGGGCCTTGGGCGGGAGGGGGGTGGGGGGTCCGGACCCAATTCCATGGATTTACTCTTCCCCACAAAAAAAAAAACAGGGAAAATGGCACCATAAATGGAGATCTTCAGGGATCATTTTTTCCAAATTCCGTTTTGAAGGGGGTGGCGAGGTCGGCCTCCAGCTGCCTTTCCCTCAGCCCGGCGAGGACCCGCAGTGCTGGCTGCCAACAGCTGGACCTCTCACAGGCGGCCATGGCCGCATTGTGCGCCACCAGGTCGCAGCCCACCGTCCCCAGCTGCAAGAAGTATAGCGCCTTGGTGGCTGCAACGACCCCCCTGCAAAAACTGAATAACTTTTTTGGGGGTTTGCTGGAAACCCAACTTGATTTCCCAAAACGTTGAGGTCTAAAGATCCAACCCAACAGCAGTCAAGGCGCCAGCTGCCATTGCCGACCTCGGCCACAAGCGCTGATCACCGCATTGAAGGTGACCGCATTCGGCAAGAGCTGCCTCGCACGGGCCGCGTCAAGAAGCACCAAGGCGGGTTCCCACTGCTTCCCTTTCTCGCACGCACTGATGGCCGCATTGAAGGTGACAATGGTACATTGCAGACTTTGCTGCTCAAACCCCCAGATCAATTCCAACGCCTCCAGGGTTAGGCCGACCATCTTTTTCAAGTTGAACGCATCCACTGTTTCAGCAGAACTTTGGGTTGCCCTTGACAGTACTAGAGTCTGGTGTCTTCAATCTCCCTGTACAACCCCTCCTGTCAAGGGGTACCCAGAAAAAAGAAAAGAAGGCACAAAAGAAAGAAAAAAACACCCGGAACTTAAAACCCGGATTTGAATAGCTACTAACATTCCTCTCCCATTGCCTAATTTGACTCACGGCACCCCAACAAAATCACATTCTAATTGTCCCTTCCCGAGAAGATTGGCCAGAAAAAGCAACCAAACTATTTGTTGGAAACCAGGGGTGAGAACTGTTTTGCCCCCCCCCCCAAAAAAAAAAAAAACATAAGAAAAACGTGAAGTAATAATTGTTTAGCCCCCCAAAACCCCCACCCCACCCCACCCCCCCATCCCCCGGCTTCTGATTCCCCCGCCTGCTCCCAGCACCCGCTCCTCTCACAGGCGCTGATGGCACTGTTGCGCCCGACGCCGCTCGCCAGCGAACGCCTGTGGCTCCTCAGTTGTCGTCCGTGGACCCAGAAACTGACGGGTGCTCAGTAGGGGATGTCAGCTTCCCCCCAATTGCTTGGTTGCTGCTGACCCCTCTGCAAAAAGGACTTTTATGGGTTTAGTATCAAACCACTTGATGTTAAAGTCTAAAGATCCAACCCAATCAAGATTGGTGGTTTGGATTGGTGGTTTGGACTTGGATTTGAACTCCAGCACCTTTTAAAACCAAATGGGAAGCTACCCCTCAAACCCCTCAAACCCCTCAAACCACCAAACCATACGCCAATTGGGGCTAAGGTGAGAATGACCTTCCGGGGTGTTGGGACCGAACTGTGGGATCCCCTAGGAAGCCGTCGCTCCAAGTCGTATTCCATGCTGGTTGGAACCAGCAAGGAAATGAACAAAGGCGATCAACTTTTTGGGGCCACGAAAGGGCACCCAACAAGGAAAAACCAAAAGGTGGAAAAACAAACACCAAACCAGGATCACCTCTTTGGGGGCTCGCTTCGCGGGAAGAAAACAAACTTGAGGGACAAACCTTGGGTTGCCATGACTAAAAATGGAAAACCAAAAGCTCAGAAGACCAAATCAAAACCAAAATCAGGAAACCAACATTGACGGTGCTGAAGAACCCAAATCAGTAGGACAACCAACAGGTCGATTGATAAAAAGGTCGATTCGCTACTTGCAAGTGAGGCACTCCTCCACTAGGCCCAGCGCCTCCCGCCAAACCAAACTGCCGTTTTCAGACGCTGTGCCTAGCAGCCGAACGTCTGCAAGAAACAATAACACAAAAAAAAACAAGTGACATGAGAAAATTCAAATGCTAGCTGTGGTTTTGTGGGGAGGTTAGAGTGTACCTTGTTTTTGTGGACAACTTTGAGTGTCCCTGGCTTTTGGTGGGAAATGTCTAAACCCCAAATGCAGACTGCTGCGATTGCGGCACGATTCCCCTTTGTTTGCCCTAAACAAATGAATCACCCCTGAGAAAAACCCACAATTAACTTGGCCAACAAGACGCCGTTGAAATTCGAAAGCTGACAACATACTGTAGATGGACAACATCCTGCACCACTATGTACGTGGTTTACCTGTAAAAACCCACAATGTACAGGGGTTTCTCAAGTTTCATCCATCCCAACTGGTGCGAATTTCTGCACCGCTTGGTTGAAGCCATTGCTCCCTGGCATTTGCAGGGGAATTTTATGATTTCAGGGTTTCTGAGGTGGTGCCTGAGCAGATTTCGCAACCACCCACTTGGATGTCCCGGCCTACAGCCGCCACTGCTGCGCCGTAGGACACCGCATCCACCGAAGTCGCCGCCGCCGCCCGCAGCGCTTTCAGCGCCAAGCGCCAGCCGCCGCCTGCGGCGGCGGCGAGGCCGGCGTTGCGAGCCACGAGGTCGGGGGACCGCGGCTGCAGGGCCAGGCTGAGGCGCCAGTTACGGCAGGCGTCTGCCGCAGCGGCCAGGGAGATGGCCTACGCAACTGCACCTCACTTCCAATAGATCTTTTTAATCTACCACTACAATGGTCTTACCCCCCCCAAAAAAAAAAAAAAAACAGAAAGAAAGAAGTTTCAAAGTCCATGAACTCAGGAAGTGAGGTACATGAGGGCAGCACGCAGACACAAGCTCGGCCAATAGTCTTGGACCTGCTTTAAAAGGAGCCACCAACCCCCTTGGATGGTGCCAACAGTCATCTGGACTTGCCACTCTTAAAGTTGCATTGCCCATTCTAAATTTAGTACTGCGAAGATATGATCAGAATCCTCGTACTTCATCTAGCATTGACAACTTTAAGACTAGTATTGCCAAGGCTTACTCTCAGAATCCAAGTACTTTATTTAGTATTGCCAAGACGTACTCTCAGATTCCCAAAGATTATCCGGGGCTCTTGTGGGCTACCCCCTTTGTTTTATGTGACTGTTTGGCTTTGGTTTTATACAAGGGGTGTATGTGAAATTCAAGGGCTTGGGGACCATTTCCACAACAGCCAAGTATCCATAGAGTTCGGGGACCCCGATCTTTGAGAAACACCCAACGGCTCCGTGACCTGCCAAGACACATTGGCGCAGCCCTCGGATTGGAGTGTTGACAGCACCCACACGGCCTTCTCCCAGTGAGCTTTGCACGCGGAGATGGCCTGGGCTCGAGTGCGAAGCGTGAACCTTTTAATGAGGCAACGTGAAACCATGGTTGGAAGTACAGGACTCGGTTGCCTTCTGCTCCCCTGCTAAATTTATAACTTTGGGTTGTTTAATTGAAAACCCGTCCAAGCAAAATACAACAAAGAGGAAATTAGGGGAAGCACCCACTGTAGCCAGAGGTTAGACAAAGACGAGCGAATGGTTTCAAAATGAATCTACTTGCTGGTGATGCAGAGAATGAGAATTGAAGTCTGCCCCCAAGAAAAACCATCCAAATGGCGGTTTCCTTTCTTCGGGAATCCCTGGGTTCAGTCTCACATTTCAGGAAATTATGGTTTGTGGGTCAAAGACCAGCTTATGTTGACCCCACATTAATCAACCCCAGTTATTGCTAAAGGGGGTAGTTCTGGCCCCTCCAAAAGTGGCCTGATTCCCCACAATCAAGAAGGCCAAGGGTAGAACGGTATAACAACAACAAACATCATTCCTTCCATTTGCTTCAGGCCCCTGGAAAAAAACATATTTCAAGTTGTGGTAGAACCCTTGTAATAACCAACAAGGGAAATAACAACTGCTGGGGAACTGGAAAAAGGCAACTTCTCTAGGGGTTGATTCCCCATTCTTTTCAGCCATCGTTCTTTTCAAAAACCGATCGCCATTTCCCCAGGGCTTTTGGGTGGTTTTCTAGAAAGATTCGGATCCCTGGCAAGAATGGAAGATACCCCTAGAACTTCCACTTCGCCAAGTGGCCAAGGTGCCCTCCTTACCACCGAGCCTGGCGCTTCGCAGCAGCTCCAAGCACCCCACGGCCCTCTGCCAGGCCCTTTGCCGCGCCCAGAGCCGCAGCTCGCGGAAGGTCGGCTGGCCGTGGCGCTTGCCCGGGTCCATGGCGAGAGTCCCATGACGCGAGTTGGCCAAGAGGTAAGGCCAGGGCTGTGGGAGATGGAACCCACTTCTGTGATACAAGGGCCTAAGCCCAAAGACGTACCCCCCATAAGGCGGAGATGCCCAAAAGTATCAGAGTGGGGATAACCCCCTTCCCACAACCCTGGGTAAGGCCGGCCTTTTGTCTCTGGTGTGGTTTTCGCTGGTTGCCAGGCTGCCTGTTTTGGTTCACTTCCCTTGAAGTTTCTTGATCGCTTTTACCCTGAGAGAATCGGAGTCCGGCTCAGCCTTTTCTTGGAATCCTTACTTTGAGACTGCCACTGTCTCATGGCCATGCCGATGGGACATATGTTGATGACCCCCCCCTCCCCAGAGAATGGCGAAGTCTGTTTATTTATTGAGCGAGTTTTTCAGCAGCCAGTCACCAGTCAGCTTCCATGGTAAAGATGCTGGGAGGGTCCCAAAATATCGCCAAAAGAAGGAAAAACCCATCTATGAGTCTGTATGAGTCAGTAGTTCTTCCCCTACCATGGGTCCGACATACCAACGAAAAGAACCAAGCCTAATGGATGCCACTTTTGGACCCTCGCACTTCCCGCCCGCTCACAGCTTTGAGTGTCAGGCCGGTCTCAGCCGCCCAATCCTAGCGACAGGACCGGGCCGCCTTTTTTGACCTTTGAACTGGGTCTGTTTGACCTTTGAACTGGGTCGTTCAAAGGATACGTCCACAAACCACCTGTTGAATTGGGGAGATCCGCTAAATCATCTTTAAAAAATGAGTGTGGGCTGGCCCAAATGTATCCGTTCAACTGGCTGTGGTAACGATATGTTGTTCAACTGTCTAAAATGGATGCGGTGGATGCCCCTTCCAGTTTGCAAGTAAACCAACCACATTCAAGCACAAACAGATTGTAAACTACAGGGTTCATGGCTGCCTTACTTGCAATATTTAAGGAAACCGCCTCAGCCCAATCAAACACAATATGCTTGATTGGGGTCCATAGTTAAAATACAAAGGCGCCATGGGGGGTACATTCCAGCTTCTACTTTGCTGCAGGATTAAAAGACCCTGGAGTGCGGAGGTGCGTACCTCTTGGTGCAACTACCAGCTGCCGTTCCTCTACTGGATCTGCCCGCCGGTAGGTTACCCCTCTCTGCCTGTCTGTCCATGCAAGCGAGCAATGCGGCCATTCAACAATCCAGAAAAAGGCTTGTATCTTGGCAGGGCGCATTTGGCCCGCACAAATCTTGCCATCCCGCCCTCTAGCCTCTAGCCTCTACTTGGGATCCCACTACTTTGGATGGAAGCAAACCGCCTTTGCGTGGGAAAACTTCCACCTTTCCCGCGAATCCAGCAAATCGCTCAGCTGTTGCTCCCCCACAAGCAAAATATATGTATAGGATGCACCTTCGATACGCGTCCCCAATCGTCAATACTGTGGATGGACGAAATGCATTTCGCACCACCGTTCCGAAATCCTGGACTGATGGTTCCCTTGTAAATACTGTTTTGGATGGACGAAATCCATTTCCAACCACCCAAGAAACCGTGGAAAAAAACAGGATTTGTTGGCTTTTTCCGGGAAATCGTCCATCCACAGCAGCTGGCCGAGCCAAGTCACAAAAGGCAGCGTGCCCATGCCAGCCGCCCCTGCCCGGCCTCAGGCGTGCGCGAGGCTGAGAGAAATTATACCTGGAAGATCTTGGGTTACATGATGACCATATCCGTAATGAGAGAATTCAATTTAAATATGGGAAATCAGGAAAGTAGAAGTAGAAGTAGTTTCTTTTTAATACAAGAATTCAACTTAAATATAGGAGAGATTAGGAAAGAAGAATCATTCACCTGCCGGAAACTGGGCAATCGTATGAAAGGAACCGTCACATGAGTGCCGTCGCCCAGTGACGTCCCTCAAATATCATGACGTAAACTCAATCACACATGCTTCCATTTGCAATTCCAACGTGTGGACACCTATGGGATCCCTGGACACCTAGCTGTTGATTGGAAGGTCAGAAGCCCGCTTCGCTCGCTGGTTTGGCGAGCAAAAAGGCCGTGCTCATTTGCTCATCCCTGAAAGCGCTGGAAGACAGCCAGCACCCTCAAACCCTGTCCAAGCGCTGATGGAAGGGAAGCCTTTCCATTTTGCTGCTCCCCTGCTAAAAGTTTAACTTTTAGTGGTTTGAATGGAAAACCCATTAGTTGGCAAAAAGTTTAAAGTCCTCACATCCCTTGGCAAAACGCACCTCTGTTTGTTCAAGGGTACTGGGAACCCTTTCCAAAAGAGGAAGGATGTTCTCGGCCCGCTCCTTGCAGCAATCGGTTGGTCATGTGTTCAAATACGGGACCCCCGAAACTGCGGTTTCTACCCCGTGGCTTGCCGGTTGCCTTTCATGTTTTTTTTTGTTTGTCTAAACACAGATGTGAACTTTTGGAAAAATAGATGACCCTGGTAAATGGAATCAAACCAATCTAAACCACTGCCATCCCTTTCCAACCAAACTAACCTAAAAAGGGCGCACAAAAACAAACAAACACACAAACACACAAACACACAAACAAACAAACAAACAAACAAACAAACAAACAAACAAACAAACAAACAAACAAACAAACAAACAAACAAACAAACAAACAAACAAACAAACAAGCAAGCCCACACAGAAACACAAACAAACATATAGCTGCAGCTGGGGCGCATCGCGGTGTCCGCTCTGCGTGGCACGGGCATTCTTGACTTGAGCACATATGCAGCCGTCAGAGGTCTCCACTTCAGCCGGCCGTAGGGTCGTTTTGAAAGCGGCGCCGCCAAGAGACGTTGGGCTTGGGGGAGCAAACATGGTCAGACTCTAGCAGGTCAGTGGCTGGATGTCAACCACAAAACCACAACTTACGCAAAAATGCGTAAGAAGTGGTTCCCAACCAGATCCATGGTCTTGGGGTCCCCAAAGCCATTTCAAGACATAACATGAGTCCCATGGGCCGCCGGGCAGGCTTACTGGCTTGCTCCCAAACCCCGGGTCCCCAGCGGAAGTGGGATATGCAACCTGTACATGGTGAAGGTTAAAAGGGGCGCCGCCTGAGACTATGGAGCCCAAAGCGCCGTCATTCTTAGAGGCTCCTTTTGGGATTTGGACCCGCTTTTGGGGTTCCATGGTTTTTGGGTCCGGGGTATCAACCACGGTGCCCGAAGTCGGGGTTTTGTGGCCTCCGGCCCCAGAAAAAGTCCAAAGAGTATGAAGTCCAGGAACTCAGGAAGTGAGTTTTCGGCAAGTGGGACAAAAGGCCTTGTGTTTGAGAAGCGGTTGAACGTCGCAAGACATAGTCACTTGAACCTCCATCGCTATCGGGTGGACCGGTCCTATACGGGTCTTGGAGCCGATATGGGCCAAATCGCTGACAAGCGTCCCACACTTTTCACCCGCGAGTCTTTCGCTGGCGTTGCTTCGCCCCGGCATGATCCGTTTGGACACGCTGTGGGGGCTGTTGGGGGGGGGGGAGAGTGGTCGTGTGCATGCGCGGCTGACTTGTGTTGCTCAACAGGACTACAACTGTAAATCCCAAATAAATATGTTTCCTTCCTCACAACGCTTTGTATGCCCGCTTCTGCAAAAGAAACAAACAAACTTCCAAAGAACGGCGGAGAGTTCCCTCGCTTGCGAAGCTGCGGCATCCACGCATCCGCTTGCTTGCGGATGCGTTACGTTCTCAGGCGTCTTGCATGTCGCCGGTCACCGGGTCGTCTTCTTCGCCTTCCTTCTCCTCCTCTGGCAGGGCCTGGAGGATATGTTTTTAGCCCGCCGCGGCTTGGAGCCCAATGCTTTGGCGGCAAAGTAAAAGAACCCAGTAAAGCCCTCTACAAGAAGGCTGTTCAAATCTTGGCTGTTGACCCCTCTGCCAAAAAGTTCAACTTGTTTTTCTGTTTGTTTGTTTTTGTGTGCATTTTTTTTTGGGGGGGGGGGTGGGGAGAAGACGCCCCTTGGATTTCCCAAAGGCAATCCAGAAACCCCCAAGCCCCCGGGCCCCAAATCCCCAGGTTTCTTGGGGCAAGCGGACGCATCATTTTTCTCAGGGCCTGGAGCCCGTCGAGACCAGAGGCACTTCTGATCCCCCCCCTTAGGTGATTGGGCCAGAACATGTTTGCTGTTGACCCGCCTGCAAAAAGTTTAACTTTTTGGGGGTTTAGTGGAAAACCCCTTCATTTCCCAAAAAGTTACAGTCTAAAGATCCAACCCAATAGCAGCCGAGAGAAAAATAGGGCAGCCACAAATAAAAACACCTGGGCTCCCTAGATTTCCAACTTGAAAACAATACCCCCACCGAGAACACTCACCCAAAAACCCCTGACAAAAGAAACAAAAGACCTGACTTTCTGATCCCCCCTTTTGGTTCTCACGACTTCAGGTGAAGCCGCAAAAGAAACTAACTAGACAGGTTCTATGTGCTTCTGAAAACGGGGTTTTCGGGCTCCAGGGACTGGAAGATGAGCCAAGTTTCGAGGCATCTCGTCAGACAACGACTTGGAACCAAACTGAGAAGAACATCCGGGCAAGCCAGCCGTGCTGGGCGTCCAAGCCGAAAAGCACCAAAAACAAGTGCCACGGTCTTGGTTGCTGTTGACCCCCCTGCAAAAAGCTTGACTTTTTAGGGGTTTTGTGGAAACCCCCGGGGTTAGTGCCAAAAAGTAAAGTCTAAAGGTCCAACCCAATAGCAGTACAAGACAGTGTACACTTTCTAACTTTCCTCCACGCAAGGCTTTCCTCCATCTGCTTAAGCCGCCTGGAAAGATGAAAACAGATCTCCAGTAGTGAAATTGATTCCCTTCAAAACCAACAGGGGAAATAAAACAAATATTTGATTCAGCAAACGTAAGGTCTGAGTGGAGTGCCTTGAAAACCAACAGGGGAAGATAACATTTTTTTTTTAAAGTTGATGGAAGCTTTTGCATTTGCATCGCGAATTCGAACCCATTGCTGTTGACTTCGCGAGTGACGACCAGCGTGCCTGGCTTTGCTGCGGAGCAAGCGGTCGAGAGAGCTTTTGCAGGTTTCTACTGTCG